ACTTGAGCAGTTCACTTTGTTCTCTGTGACTCGGTTTCTTCATTTATAAAACGAAGGTACTAACCCATCTCAGATCCTTAATGGAGGATGAGCATGCAGATGGATAAAACTAAATAGAGTGTTACCCATATGCTGACTCATTATTATCATGATCCTATGAGATTGAAAAGCTTCCATTTTGTAAGTAAGCAAAATGAGACTCAACAAGGTTAATTAGGCCCAAATAATCATAGCTAGTTAGACGGTGTGCCAGAATTGTAGCCCAGTTCTCTTGTTTCAAGTTTAATATCTTCTTGCAAGCCTCCATTTCCCCAGGTGGTTTCCTGTAGCCATCCCCAGCCTGGGTGCTGACTTCCTTTCTTCCCTTCATACTCAGGCCCTGACATCATCCTTATGTTTTCCAGCATCATTGCTAGTTTCTGCTGGGTACCTGCTGGGTTCACACAGTAAGTGCTTATGGTTGACTATTCATTTGCTTCCTAACTGCCGTGAATCACTTTGCTTATTGATACTACTATATTGTTATATGAAACAGTGGATCTGTCATTATGCTTCATGAAATGCCTAACCCTTGGAAGAGAAAAAGACTTGACTGAATTTTATCTTAGTGTGCCATACTCACACTTTCCCCCTGAATTTTGTCTGATTCATATCTCCTGCAGCTTGTCCTTAAAGTAGTTTTATTAACAGCATGAGTCTCTACTGCTGACATTGGAAAGTGGTTCAGCGTTTTATCTTTCTTCATAGTCTGCTAGTGATTAAAGGCTGATTCGAAGCTTTGATAGCCAGGAGAAAACCACTGATTCTGGAAATTTTTCACATAATTGGCCCCAAAGAAATGAAGTCTTCTGAGAGTGAACCCCGTTCCTAACAAAGGCATGAACCAGTAAGCTCTTGGTGCTTCTTGCATCCTTGCTAGTATGAATATGCAGCCAGGAGAGCTTAGCTGAGGCTTTCCTTTCTGGTACAGGAGGCAGTTCCAAATCCAGGTCAGCTCTCTGCAGCTATACGGGCTTGGTCATGCAGTTAGAAGCAAAAAACTCATTTAATAGAAGGCCTGCAGGCAGCCAGACAAAAAGACGCTGGCTAAGAAGGTACTGTTTATACAGATATTGTAGTCGTTTTCTAAACAGTAGACCTTTAATAAGAGTCCATTGATTTACAGTGATGAGAAAAGTGATAAGATTATTATAACCTCCAAATTGTTCTTTCTGGTGTACTGTGGAAACCTGTACTTATTGCACGTAGAACAAGCTTACAAAGAGACTCAAAACATCTTGATTATTGGTGGCATTTTCATTGTCCTGCAGAATTTCTAGAAACTTTAAAGTAGTACTGCAGAGGAGAGAATGGAATTGATATCGATAGTGGTACTCTGCTGGTTTAGAGTGAGGGACTTTCACATTGCTGGAATCCTGAAGAGAAATTTGTCAAACATTTTGTATGTATATTCATGTCACTTTGAAATGCCAGTGTGCTTACCATAAATAGTTATAAAGGCTACTTGCCCTTAGCAAGTGATACACCTGAACTTTCCATCTGATTCCAGATATAACTTCCTGTGACACCACTAAGGTTACTTGCTATAGTAGCTGAAAGATACATGACAATGGCAAGACAAAACATGGGGAGAATCCTAATACAGCTCCGTGAAAGGGACTAGTCTTTGAACATGTACAGTTTTCCTCCTAAGTGGAAATGAGCACCGCAAGTCTGACCAGGGTCTATATAATGTATGAATGTATCATAATTTCTTCTATCATTGTGTTCTGGTAACTGCATGTCAGTATAGGCATATTACTTAATGTCTGTTAGGTAGCCCCCACATACACATTCCTGATCCCCAAAGGTTTTTTTTTTCTTAAATAGAAAGTATTATTTTATTATTTTCCCTAGTGGTTTTAAGGAGACCTCAAACCCAAACTCTTGCAGCACTGGAATGTAAATGGGATACAGGTAGGTAAGCCAGAGGACATGGCTCTGGCCATGAGCTCTTGGACTTTGTCTGGTGGGTAGGTGGCAGTGGCAACAGCAGAGAGGCTGAGGGCCAGGCTGCCTCTTTTGCTCCAGCAAGTGAAACAGTGGACATGGCTGGGGGCACTCTATTCCCTCCCTGCTCACTTCCTTTGGGCCCACTCCTGCCCTGCCCTCTCAGCTGCTCTTGCTGCTGGCACTCATTCCTTCTCAGACCTCTGCCAGCCGCAATAGTGGCAGTGGCTATAGAGGCAGTGGTAAGGACAATTGGAAGTGGTCTTCCAAAAGATTTGAATATGTTCTTCATACAATGTCCTAATCACTTAATATCTTACTTCGCAGAATGTGTTGTGGATGTTATGCATAACATACTTGTAGTCTTCCCCCCACCCCCTGAAAGTTCTCTTAGGCGGTGTGTTAGTTTGGGTTGACTATAGAAACAAATCCAGAGACACTCATGTGTATAAGAGAGAGCTTTTTTTAAAAAAATCATTTTATTAGGGGCTCATACGACTCTTATCACAATCCATACATACATCAATTGTGTAAAGCACATTTGTACATTCATTGTCCTCATCATTCTCAAAACATTTGCTCTCCACTTAAGCCCCTGGCATCAG